CAAGGCCCTCCTATATCCTTCCCTAATCACATCCCTTCTCTTCTGACTTTTGTGATAATCATTCCCTTGCTTTTCTTTATATATATTAATTTTATGTTGATTTCTAATCTCTCTATGGGAGTGTAGATGACACATATCATGCCTCTTACTTTAGGATTTTTACTTTGTAACAAAGATATTTTCTTACCTAACCATAGTATAATTCTGAAATTCAGGAAACAACATCGATACAATATTTTAATCTACAATCCATATTCTAATTTCGATAATTGTCCCAAATATGTTCTTTAAGACATTTTTTTTCCTCTAGTCCAGGATCCAATCCAGGATCACATATTACATGTCTCTTTAGTCTCTACTGTAAATTCTCTCAGCCTTTGTTCGTCCTGCATGACAATGACATTTTTGAAGATATTTCATACTATAAAATTCACCTATTTAAAGCATACAATTTAATGGTTTATTCTACAGCCACAGAGTTGTACAACTATCACCACCATCTAATTTTAGAACATTTTCACCCCCCTAAACAAAACCATATCCATTAGCTGTGACTCCCCATCTCCCTCCTATGCCCACCCCCACCTTACCAGCAGCCCTAAATTACTACCAATAATCTCCTTTCTGTCTCTGTAGATTTGCCTGTTCTCAACATTTCATATAAATAGAATCATACAGTATGTGGTCTTTTGTGACTGTCTTCTCATGTAACAATATTTTCAAGATTCATTTGTGTATAGTATGAATCAGTACTTTATTTCTTTTAATGGCTGAATAATACTCCATTGTATGGATATACCACCCTTTATTTATCTCAGTTGATGGGCATCTGGGCTGTTTCTATTTTTTTGGCTATTTTGTATAATGCTTCTATGAACATTTATGTACAAGTTTTTATGTAGATGTATGTTTTTATTTCTCTTGGGTATATACCCTAAGAGTGGAATTGCTAGGTCATATGGTTACTCTTTAAATTTTTGAAGAACTGCCAAACTGTTTATTAAAGTTGCTATACTATTCTACATTCCCACCAGCAACCTATGAGGCTTGCAGTTTCTCCACATCATCACCAAAACTTGTTATTGTCCTTCTTTTGATTATAGCCATCCTAGTGGGTATAAAGCACAATTGTATTGTGGATTTGATTACCCTAAAGAGTAACGATGTTGCATACCTTTTCATATGCTTAAGAACCATTCATATATCTTCTTTAGAGAAATGTCTATTTGAATCATTTGCCCATTTTTAAATTGGGTTGTTTGTTTTTACATTATTGATTTATAAGAGTTTTTACGTATTCTAGATACAAGTCCATTATCAGATAAATGATTTGCAAATATTTTCTTCCATTTTGTTAGTTTTCTTTTTCACTTTCTTTTTCTGCAGCTTTATTGAGATATAAGTGACATGACATTTATAAGTTTAAGGTGTGCAATGTGATGATTCGATATATGTACATATTGTGAAATGATTACCACAGTAAGATTAGCTAACACAACCGTCACCTCACACAGTTATCTTTTTTGGTGCATAGTGACAACATTTAAGATCTTCTTTAGCAGTTTTCAAGTAGTCTTTTCATTTTCTTAATGATATCATTTGCAGCACAAAAGTTTTTAATTTTCATGTTGTCCAAATTTTCAATTTTTTTCTTTTATTGTGCCTTGGATGTTGTATCTAAGTCACCATTGCTGAACCTAAGGACATGAATATTTACTCTTATGTTTCATTTTAAGAGTTTTCATAGTATAAGGTCTTACATCTAGATCTTTGATCCATTTTGAGTTATTTTTTGTGTATAGTGTGAAATAAGGACCTCGTTTTATTTCTTTGCATGTTAATATCCAGTTTCCCTGACACCATTTGTTGAAAAAGCTATTCATTTTCCATTAAATTGTTTTGGCACCCTCATCCAAACTCGATTGACCATAAAATAAAGGATTTATTTCTGGACTCTCATTCTATTCAATGGATCTCTACCTATATGTCTACCTATATACCAGTACCATACCATCTTGATTACTGAAGCTTTGTAATAAGTTTTGAAATTGAAATTATGAGTTTTCCACCCTTGTTCTTTTTTATGAAGATGATTTTGGCTCCTCTGGGTCTTTTCACTTCCATGTGAATTTTAAGATCAGTTTGTCAGTTTCTGCAAAGAAGCCAGCTGAAATTTTGATAGGGTTTGAGTTAAATCTGTAGAGCAGTTTAGTGACTATTGCCATCTTAGTATGAAGTATTTCCATCTATGAACAGGGTATGTCTTTTCATTTTTTGAGAAACTATTAAATTTTTTCAACGTTTTACAGTTATCAGCATACATCTTGCACCTCTTTTGTTAAATTTATACCTAAGTATTTTATTCTTTTTGATGCTATTGTAAATAGAATTGTCTTTCTTAATTTTATTTTTACAATGTTCATTGCAAATGTATAAAAATACAGTTGATTTTTGCATATCGATTTTGTATCCTGCAAACTTGCTGAACTCGTTTATTAGCTCTAATAGTTTTTAATTAATTTTTTAGGATTTTCAATATATACAAGATCATGTCATCTGTTTTACTTTTTTTTTTTTCCATCCTGGGTGACTTTTATTTCTTTCTTGTTTAATTGCCCTCGCTAAAACCTCCAGTGTAATGTTAAAGACATGTGGTGAGAGCAGACATCACATCCTTGTCTTATTTCTGATCTTAGAGGGGAAGAGATTCAGTTTTTAAACATTAAGTATGATAGCTGTGTTTTTTGGTTTTTTTTTTTAAACAGATGCCCTTTGTCAGGTTGAGGAAGTTCCTTTTTATTTTTACTTTGTTGATCATTTTTATCATGAAAAGTTGTTCGACTTTGCCAAATGCTTTATCTGCATCTTTTGGGATGATCAAATGGTTTTTGCCTTAAATTCTACTAATTTGGTATATTACATTAATTGATTTTCATATCCTAAACCAATCTGGAATTCCTAGAATAAATCCCACTTGGTCATGGTATTCCTTTTTAATCCTTTTTTTTTTTCTGTGAGGTTGGAGTGATGTCCCCCTTTCATTCCTGATTTTAGTAATTTCAATTTTCTCTCTTTTTCATTCTTTAGTCTAGCTAAAGGTTTATCAATTTTGTTGATCTTTTTTAAGAAACAAATTTTGGTTTGTTTGATTTCCTGTGTTGTTTTTCTATCCTCTCTTTCTTTTATTTCTATTCTAGTCTCTGTTATTTCCTTCCTCCTGCTTATTTTAAATTTAGTTTTTTTCTCCTTTTCCCAGTGCCTTTAGTTGAAAGGTTAAATTATTGATTTGAGATATGTCTTATTTTTAATATGGATGTTTAGTTGGTAAAGTTAACTTTGGTCACCTGGTAACGTTATTATCTGGTTTCACCACTATAGAATTAGTATTTTTCTCCTTGCAACTAATAATAAATCTATGGGGAGACACTATTTAAACTTTCTGTAGAGGTTTTCTAGTGAGGTAAACAGTTTGTACATTTTTTTTTTTTAAGGCACAAGCTACCAATTAAAAGTTTCCATCTGCTTCAATATCTTTTATTGCTCATATTGGATGTCTAGTATAGCTCATAAGACACCTCACCTTGGGAGTAGATTTTTTCTGGAACAAATCATTTGAGTAGACTTTCTTAATTAGGCACTTAATTGCCCTGGGATAAGGATAGAGCATGACCATTTGTTAATGACTTGACAAAGGCTACTCCTTCCAATACTCCTTGCTATGATGGATGCCAAGAGAAAAGGAAATTTTGCGTAGAGACCATGATTCCTCCAGGATATTGAGACCCTCATGCACACATTTCTTCCATCTTGAGGTACAATGATAGAATATTTCAGCAGTATTGAGCCTATCTGAAATCCTTCATCAGGAAAAAATCCCAAGCGTCCCCAGGCAGTTTCTTATTATGAGGGAGAGGGAATCAGAACTCAAACCCAGAATAGATTATCAGGGTGGCAGTGTAACCAGGAGCATTGTTTTGTGGGGTAGGCTGGACACTCCTAACCCAGCCATCCAGGTCCTATAGGTGAGTTTGAGGAACTAAAGCAGAGTGTTGGCATATGAAATAAAGAGCCTGTACCTGGAGAACTCCAGGCAGGGAGTGGGCTCTGCAATAATGGAAATGGGGATCATAGTGGCCCAATCAAGGTCTCCCGTTCTCTTTTCAATAAGGTAGATTACTATGTAAAGGGATGTGACATGTGTGCGCACTGAACCAGTGAAGCTGGTCATTTCAGTTGTATTGTTTGGTTGTTGTTGTTGTTGTTTTTTAATGTGGCTACTTTAATTGATTTAGTTTTATATTATGTGGCATACCTAGAAGAAGATTATCTTCTTAAGGTAGGATAGAATTCTGAAAGAAATTTTGCTTCTTTTGTTTTACACAGGTTGATGATCAAATAAGGTCTGCCTGATTTAGAGCTCCATATTTAACAACACCTGAAGCAACTCTAACTTTATAAAATCAAAGCATCATTTGATGAATAAAGACCACAGGTTTCCAGCAATAAGGCTAATTGGAGGGTCCACAAAATATCTAAAGCACCATGAAAATATTACAGTCATTTAAATAAATAGATGCATCTGAAAAATCAAGTGGAATTCTTCTGATGGCAGGAATAAACCAGACAGAAGTCTGTGGAAGGAAGGAAGTATACCCTAAAGCTGCTGCGTAATGACCCACAGCCTCTGCTGTATGGTACCTGGTACTAGGCATTCAGTCTACGCAGAATGGGGATTTCCACACCCCCCAAAAAATAAAGCTGGGACTCAGCAATGGTGAGACTGAGCTAGGAGAATACACACCTAGAAGAGGCAGATGGCAACAAAAAGTTTCCAAATCGTCTTTGTGCAGAAGTTTTTAAAAAGAAAGAAAAAGCTTCCCTTGACATTTTGTGGCTACTAGCTTTTCTTGAGGATTCTTGGCCCAAATTTTCATTCTTTGCATGGTCCAGAAAACCATCAGTTGAGGATTTTAGCAGACCAGATCTATAGTGACTCAGACACCTGGCAGAATCAAATGCACACTCCCTGGAGGAATGTACCCTCAACCTAGTCCTAGGAGAAATCTGATGGAGAAATTTAAACAAAGGCAAGTCCACAACCCCAATAACAAATTACACAAAGAAATACACAGCAATCATGAGGAAGATTCAGCAAGATAAATGAACCAGTCCTAGAAAGACTTCGGTATGGGAATTATCAGATAATAGCCAGATAAAATATGGGGCACCCAGTTAAATTTGAATTTCAGATAAGTAATGAATAAATTAATTTTAAGTATAAATATGTCCCATGCAATAATTATACTAAAAATTTGATTTTTATCTGAAATTCAAATTTATCTTGGCATACTGGATTTTTAATTATTATATCTGACAACCTTAGATATAGACTATAAAGTAAATTTGTCAGATATATAAGAAATAAAAGAATTTGTCAGAAAGATGAGTAATAAGCAAGAAACATCCTAAATGACCAAATAGATATGAAAAAGGAACAATTGGACCTTCTAGAAATGAAAAATATAAAAATCAAAAAGAAAAACTAAATGGAAGAATTGGGGGTAGGTGTACTAATGTTGCAATGTACTTTGATATGCATAACAAAGCTGGATTGATAAATGCATTGAGAGATAGACAGATGGATAGACATGTATAAAGCAATTATAGCAAAATGTTCATTGTAAAATGTAGGTGATGGGTATATGGGATTTTAGTCTAAAATCCTTCAACTTACATCTATTTAAAAAATTATCATAAAATATTGGGGGAAAAAAACGGAAAAGTTAAGTAGTATAACCAACAAAGTCTAAATACGGAACTAGAAGATAAATCAGGAAAATTTTCAAAGAATGCGTCCCGGGAACAAAAAGAGATAGAGACTATGAAAGGCTAGTTAGGGTGTGTGTTAGTAAAGTGAGAAAATGCCCTCTGTCTTACCAGTTCCCAAAGGAGATAAAGGGTAAGAGGCAATATTCAAAGTAAAGTGGCTGAGAATTTTCATAACTAACAAAAGACAGTAATCCACAGATTCAAGAATTCCTATAAATTCCAAGAAGGATAAGTAAAAATAAATTTACTTCCCACTAAAGGAATTTCCAAAGGATATGCTTCACAAAGAACAAAAATGATCCTAGAAGGAAGAGCTGAGATGTGGGTAATTTTAAACAAACATTGGTTGTTATAAAGCAGTAATGATAATGTTTTAATTTGTGGAATTTAAGACAATACTGAGATAGAACAAACTGGTTGGACCACAATAACGATCTAAGCCTGGAAGGGGGTTATTGAAGCTAAAAGGTTATTTAAAGTTAAAAATATCAATTATCTTTAGATTTTTAAAGATAGGCAATCCACTTAAAATTCAAAGCATAACTACCATAAGAAAAATTTTTTAATTCATATCTTTAAAAGCAGTAATGAGCAAAAATAGCAAGATTTTAAAAACTTGATTTATTTTTGCAGATAAAGAAGTAAATTCAAATATTTCAGTAATAATAAATGTAAATAGATTGAATAATACAGTTAGTAATTATAGATTTCCAGACTAAATATATCTGCCTAGTTCCTTCTCCCCACCTCACCATTCAGATAAGTCACTCCCACTCCCAGAGAAAGAGTAAGAGAGGGGGTGGAGAGAATGGGGATTATCCCTATAGAGTGGAAAGTAGAAGCTACAGAAACCCAATAATTTTTACAGTTCTAGATACAGTTCTTTCTGTCCATAAGTTATCTCATAAAATTCAGTAAAACGTGGATTTCAAAAAACGTTTTAATCTATGAAGGGTAAGAGTTAACCACATAAAATTTTCTTAGAAAAATATCAATATTCTTGTACAGGGAAAAAAATGAAACTCTTTCTAAATACAACAGTAAAATTCTGAATTTATATTAGCTCTACTGCCTTATTTCTTTTCATTTTCTCATTTTTATTTAACAAATTTTTACAATTTCCAAGATGGTCTCATCTATAAACAGTAAGCAATATTTTCAACCATTAGTCAAAAACATAGTAATACATTGTATTTCATGATAATAACACCAGAATGCAAAAATGTCTTCTGATATGTTTTTTGGGGGGAAAAACGATAGACAACATTATGGTCGATGCCCTAATATCTACTTCCCCTCTCCCCAGCAGCAATATGGCTAGGGAAACTGAACTCAGCCTAAGAGCTATGGCCCAGTTTAGCCCAAAGGTGCTCTTACCCCATTTCATGCTTTATTCAAGAAGGGATATTTTGTCCCATTTTAGCCAGTGAGTCCTGAGGAGAAGTTAGACTAAAGGTTTCTGGGAAACTCTTCTTTCTTGTTCTAAGGGAGAACGCTGGAAAGCCAGACTCATTTTCTCCTTGTGGATATGAAAAAGAAGTGCATTTAATCTCAATATTTACCAGGAGTCATTCTGCTAAAACATCTCCAAAGCCTACCCTGCCTTTGGACATCACCAGCTAACATAATCAAGGTCTTCATTAGTTAAGCCAGTTTGAGTCCGAAAGGTCTTTACCTTATATAATAGTTAAGCCTTTACATCGAGACATTATTTAAATACTCTACTATAAAGCCACTGTTGAGAGAGCATGCTCACTTCTTAATGAGTGTGGAAAGCTTAGCAAGAACTACCTAGTTTGTACACAAGGAAATGAGAATAAGCAACTTTTCCCCTACATTTTCAAGAATAAGTGAGAACCATTATATGACAAACACTGGTAGTTGCCTACTTAATATCTGCTTCTCCTTTTTCCTTAGTAACAGAATTCAATTATATTCTGGATAGCACATGTACCCTTGAGATGACATATTCCAGTTTTTCTTGAATCTAGGGAGGCTATCAGGGAGATTCAAGCAGAAATTATTGGGTTGGACTTGCAGGAAAGCTTTCAAAAAAGGGGACAGACCCTGGCATGTAGCTTTTTACTTCTTGCACCTTCTTGTGTTCTGAAATTCAGACATGAAGATTGGAACTCTAGGAGCTATTTTGGACTATGAAGCAAACTTGAGGATGGAAGGTACCTGTTAGAGTTGGTGGATCAAAAAGACAGAAAGAGCTTGGGTATCTAATGATTTCAGAGCCACCATCCCAGCCCAGGGCTGCCTGCCTCTGAGCTCCCTTTACATAAAAAAGAAATAAAACCTGTATCTTGTTTAATCTGCTTATTTGGATTTTTTATTGTATGTGGCACCAGAGCCTAATCCTAATTAATACATGATGTGCCACTGTTAAGAACAGAAGCTCTGGAATAGACAATCCTGAAGTTGAGAAACTACTCTGCAATTACTTAGCTAAGTGACCTTTGACAAGTTAGTTAAACCTCTCTAGTCCCAGTTCGTCATCTGTAAAATGGGGATCATGGATGGCACTTACATCTTAGGGTTGCAGTGAGGATTAAATGAGATATTACATGCCAAATGTGTAGTGCAATGCCTGGCACAGATTAACAATCAGCCAATGTCAATAGTAAAATCTAAAGCAAAGAAGAAATCAGTGATCTCCAATCTAAACTAAGACCATGGCACTTCTTGTTAGTCTTCTTGTGTATCTTTTGTCATCTATCTCTCCCATTGCTCAATTTTCAAAATACTGTTTCCAAACCTGTGCTTCATTTCAAGAACTTTACCTTTTTCAGCAAATGATATTGCCTCCTACTTCATAGAGAAAATCGAGGTTATTAAGAATATCTTGCCCCCATATCAACTATCTACTTTCCAAAGAGTATCTTCTCCCTTCAGAAGCAAATCCTTCCAGCTATGATTCAGAGATAATTCCTCTCATCAACTCAGAGATCTGGGTTCATCATACCCCACCTCCCTCTCTCACCTCAAATCTCAGCCATCTTACAAAAATCAAGACAAAACAAAACACTCTCCCTCTTTGACCTTTAGTATACCTGTAGCTAATGACCCTGCCGCTCAGAGCCAAGCTATTTATTAAGAGAATGGCCCACATTTATTGTATCCACTGCTAAATAGTATTGTCTGCCATTTACTAAACATTTACTATGTGCCAGATGATTTATATACATTATCTCCAATCTTCAAATTAATACCACGAAGTAGGACTATTAACTCCCTTTTTTAATGAATGAGGTTACTGGGGCTCAAAGAACAGTAAGTATATTGTTCTGGCTCACATAGCTTAAATGTGACACAATCAGAATTGGAACCCAGGTCAATTTGAATGCAGGTTATGTTAGTTGCATTCTATCAGTAGTTCCCAAACTTGGCCAGGGCATCAGAGTGATCTAGAGACTTTAAAAAAAAAAAAAAATACAGATTCTTAGATCCCAACCCAGATCTACAAAATCATAATCTCTTGAAGAAGAGCCCAGGAATC